TTGATCAAAATAATCTGGAAATCGACAGGAAGATTGTTTTGATGATTTCAGGGTCTAGTTCGAATACGGGTCATCTGCAGTCACAAACTAGGTCACAGGAGCTAAAAATAGAAAAATCTTGTTAACACTAGTTGCTGCATTTTTGATCCAAATATTCTTGAAATTGTTCAGGAAAGTTGTTTTGATGATTTCTAGGTCAAGTTTGAGTATGGGTCATCTGCGGTCAAAAACTAGGTCACAGGAGTTAAAAATAAAAAAATATTGTTAACACTTAAGTGCCAAATATTCTGGAAAAAAAGGTCTGGAACGTTGTTTTGATAATTGTTGGGTCAAGTTCGAATATGGGTCATCTCAGGTCAAAAAGAAAGTCACAGGAGCTTAAAATAGAAAAATCTTGTTAACACTCTAGTGTTTGCAGTTTTAGTCCAAGAATCATGGAAATTGGCCAGGAAAGTTGTTTTGATGACTTCTAGGTCAAGTTTGAAATTGAATCATTTCTGGTCCCATACTAGGTCATAGGAGCTAAAAATAGAACAATCTTGTTAACACTCTAGTGGCTCAAGTTTTCATCCAAATATCCAGGAAATTGGTCTGCACGTTTCTTTTGATTATTTCTAGGTCAAGTTCGAATATGGGTCACCTCGGATCAAAAACTTGGCCACACCGCCCAAATATTGTTAAACCTTTTCAACACTCTCGAGGTCACATTTTCGACTCATTTGTCATCAAACTTGATCAGGACGCTTGTCTTAGTAATTGCTCGGATGAGTTCGATGAGTTAGGTGAATCCTTTTATCCATCGTCTTCATATTTGGTTATGAGGTTAGTTATGACAATAAGATGACCCACATTGCTTTTGAGGTCACTGGGTCAAAGGTCAAAGTCACAGGGGCCTTGACCTTAAAACACTTGTCTGCCCAATAACTAAGTAGGAATCCTTTGGCCCACAATCCTCATATTTGGCAAGAACGCTTGTCATGATCATCTGATGACACCTTTGGATTTATAGGGTACTGGATAAAGGGCAACGTTTACAGGGGCCTCAATTTTCAAAAAGCAGGTCCGCTCTATTGCTTAAGAAGGCTTTGGTCAACAGTCTTCATATTTTGTATTGAGGTTGCTTATAACTAGTAGATAATTCCTATTGATTTCGAGGTAAAAGGTCAAGGTCAGAAGGGCATTGACCAAAAAATAGCATGTCCGCCCAATAACTTTAGAATGCTCTGGCAGTTTCAGTTTTGAGGTTAGTAGGTCAAAGGTGAAGGTCACTTTAGAAAACATATAGAATAAATGCACTCACTAACTACCCTCAGATTTGGCAGGGAGATTTTCCTAAAGCTCTTAATCACCACTGTTGACTCTGACAAAGCGGTATGGGGGGGGGGGGGGGGTTCACACCATGACATTCGCAGTTCTAGTTAGTATTTTATCATTAAGAGTAAGGCCAGGTGATATGAAAATCAGTATTAAGTGCACTTCCAAGTGTGGCAAAGCCTTAACCATGGGGTCAAAGTTGACCCTGTCTAAAGGGCAATTTGAAATTACGTTTTAAAAGTTCTAGATAGAAACTTAAGTTCTTTCTTAATTAACTCACCCATTTATTTAGTTTAAACTTAGTACATATCTAATAACTCACAGCTTATAGTTGATTTGAACCTGCATTCAAATAGAATTTAATTTGAATGTCATAAACATTTTGTATATAGAAATATAATTTGATTTTGAGCGAACGTTTTTGTTTTTTTGTTTTTTTTGTATTTAGTACCTGATAGCTGTCCATCAATTATCTCCATTTTAAGATCGATTATTCGCAGAATAACATTTTAATAACAAGCCTTTGTACCTTTAAGGACAATATAATATACTCATATAGGTAAGCATTATTATACTCGAAGAAACACCCTTGTGACAACTTTTTGAATAGTCGAGTTTTACTGTCCTTTGACAGTTCTTGTTTTGTCTACACCTTAACAAACGGATATTTTAACTAAACGCAGAAATTATCACCATTAGACCATGTTTCCTGCAACCGCATGAGGCATATTAGATAGTTGATTTCTAAGCGTAGGATACACCGAAATACCGTATCCGTTTTGTGTATTCTTACTTCTTATTCTAAGTTTGACGGAAAGAGTCGAGGAGATGCGATTAAGTAGATTAACGAAAATAGCCGATATATGTTGCTTTTGTTCGCAGGTGCAATTCGTTTAATCAGAAATTCTTATTATTCGTAATTTAAACAAAACTTCCACGGATTTCATTCTTATTTGTGGACATTTACTCTGACCTTTTATTTGATTACCACAAATGTTGACATATTCTCTTTTGTTAACAAATCGGTTGTGATGAAATTATTATTATGTCTGATAATAAGAATTCGATAGGTCAGGTATATCTGCAATTGATAACAGAAATTTTATTAAAAACCGACATGTTGAATAAAGTATGACATTGACTTTAAACGACATTGACCGTCAATTACAATTTTTTATGTGTTCAAACGCAAATGATTCGTATGATAAGAACAGAAAATATGTTGCAATTTAAATTGTACTCGAACAAGTGCCAAAAAAAATCCAAAGATACCATTTAAGATTATATTGTAATCGACAAAGCTTCTTGCTGTGGTGCCGTCATTCTATGAACACGAAGTTGCGCACTTCCCTCATTTCAATTTATTATCTTTCCCCATAGATACTATTAAAGTCCTACTTCTATGAACAACATTTTTGAACGCAACAACAACATCTGGCTTGTAACAATATTATAATATTTATTTAGGCCATGCTTAGCGGCAGATTACTAAAATTAATACAGTATTAACGGCAAATTATTCCTTCATGAAGTTCGTTGTATGGTTAAAAGAACAAGATGTTCCTTTTATTTACCTGTATTGTTAAGAATAATTGTATAGAATACAACGAAAGAACACGATAATCCATTTTTATAATTTCGCAGCTCATGCCCTCAGAAACATTAAGCGACTTGCAAATTCCACAAGGCCACACCGATAATAAGATCAATTTGACTAAGAACCCAGTTGGCCTTAATATAGGCGTTTCACAGTATATTCATGTATATGTTTATTACTTTTAGCTACAGCTTCTTCATGAGTTTCATGTGGCGAGAGGCTCGATTGATGACAAAAATCCTCAAAAGATAAAAATACAAAAATGAAACATTTGATGTTCAGCTTCTTGCTGATATTAAAGCAGAAGTAGCAAAACTCAAGTCTTCGGGATCTTCAGCGGGAAACGGTGCGTCTGCTGCGGGAGTTGTTGGATAAATGCTTTGAAATTATAGTGCTGTATTTTTTTGTCCAAAAAAATTGATATTATGTATTATTTAAGTTTTGTTATTATTTTTTAATTGTTTTATTTAAGTTTATATGATTTGTCTTTTGTAAACAGGATCAACCTGTAGATTGACATTGACCTGTTTGACGGATACAAGTTCTTGTGCATTCAACTTGTATCTTGATAACATAACTGAAATAAACGCTTAAATATTGAATCTTTTCTGTTGTTGTTGTTGTTGTTCTTTCTTCCTCCGTTTTTTTCCTTTTTTCTTTTTTTTCTTTTGTTTTTAACACCCAACATAAGACAAATGGAACTTGTGTTATGCTCCAGCAAGCGCAATTTTCAGTGTTAAGGTAATTGTGACCCTGACCTTTGATCTTATGATTATTAAATCAATGGAGTCCTGGAGGACATTGCTGGTCATCCTATTAAATGTTGTAATACAGCTGTAGGTGGATTAATACTTAAGTTATTGAGCGAAAACCGTTTTCAGTTTTTAGGTTATATTGACCTCGACCTTTGACCTTGTGACCCAAACATTAATTGGGGGTCTTCTACTCAAGATTTACAATCATCATATGAAGTTAAAACACTGTTGGCCAAATGGAACTTAAGTTATGCTCAAGAAACTACAAATTTCAGTGTAAAGATCATTGTGACCCTGACCTTTGACCTTATGACCCTAAAATCAATAGGGGTCATGTATTGGACATGGCTGTACATCCTATGAAATTTTACAGCTGCAGGTTGATTAATACTTAAGTTATTGATCAGAAACTGTTTTCAGTTTTAAGGTTATAGTGATCTTGACCTTGTGAGCCCAAAATAACCTAATATTGACACTCATTCAATGAAGTTGAACGCTGTGGAATAAATTAAACTTAAGTTATGCTCCAGAAACCACAATTTTCAATGTAAAAATCATTGTGACCCCGACCTTTGACCTTATGACCCTAAAATCAATAGGGGTTGTGTATTGGACTTTGCTGTTCATCCTTTGAAATTTTACAGCTCTAGGTTGATAACATTTATTTAGCGAAAACGATATTCAGTTTTAATGTTATAGTGACTTTGACTTTGTGACCAAAAATTCAATAGGGGTCTACTATATGGACAATCATCCTATAAATTTTGAATATTGTGGGTCAAATGAAACTAAAGTTATGCTCAGGAAACTGTTTTCAGTTTTAAGGTAATAGTGACATTGATCTTTGACCTTGTGACTCCAAAATCAATAGGGGTCTTCTACCAAATATGGACAATCATCCTATGAAGTTTGAATATTGTGGGGCAAATGGAACTTAAGGTATGCTCCGGAAACCAAATTGCTAACGGACGGATTGACAGACGGACGGACGCCAGAGGATATAGTATAATATGCCCGAAATTCTTACAGGCATATAAAATGAAACAAAAATCAAAACCTTTTTTTTTCTTTCATGTAACACAGAAAAGGTGTTAAGTTTATTTTTGTTGTTTTTTGTTGTTGTTGTTTGTTTGTTTTTTGTTGTTGTTTTTTTCGGGGGGGGCAGTTGTATGGGCACCAATACAAGACTGGACGAGCATCTGTGGTTATTATGGTTGTAGAAAAAAGTACGAAATGTTTACCTTCAGCTTGTCATTTAGACATGTTAAACCTATATGACGTACCAACCATTAGAAAAAAAAAGATTTAAAACAGAAAGTGGAAGTTGTTTGACAATGGAGGTATACATTTATTTTATATTGAATAAAGCATAAATAATTTTAAATATTCTAAAAAACACATGTAAAAAGTGTCGGAACTAAATTCATTTCTGTTCACCGTATTGAGGAATTGATACAATTGAACTAAATCAGTTTTCAATTGATTTATGCATGCATACAAAATTGTAGCTATTTCGAAAAACAATTCTGGATATTTTATTCTATTTTTTGAAGATTTAGACCAAATTGGTATTAAACTGATTACATTGCTAGAAAGGAAACCAGCTTTATTAAGTATCACTCTTTAAAATTCCCGAACATGTTTGTTTGAATTGCGCGATGAATGAGGTAATCTGCTGTATGATGAACCATTCTTCGTGCACCACGTTACCCATTCTTATATGAAAAGGACAGTAAACAACGAATACACAATACATTGTTGATTATCATGCACCAACTAAAAACGCGGGGTACATAGGTTACTGTGATGGGCTGGTCTCCTGTACACAAGTTCGTCCAGTTCTACTGGTTCGATCAATTTAAGGATTAAACTATAGTTTATATAAATATGTAAGGACTCTGTTCAAGGACATTACATGATTTATTGACCTTCAGGGCATAAGATTAAAAGGAAAGGTCACAGTAACACTTTGTGTAAGATCCTTGTCTGATAAATGCATTGTTCAAGAACATTTAATTGAGTGTTACCGGTATAATAAAGGTCAATATATGAAACGATATTGTCAGTAGAGAAAATACAATGCCCAGATAATGTTCAGAGCAACTTAGCCAAATGTTCGGCATTTGATCAGGCATCAGAGATCAAATATCAGGTCAATTATCTTATAAAGATGTGTGTGTGTGCGCTCGCGCGCGCGCGTGTGTGTGTGTGTACGTGCGTGCGCGCGCGGGTGTGTGTGTGGAGCTTCAGAAAATTAAGACTATCGAACAGAATTTGTTGGCGCTATTGGGACAGATCTCTTCCGTAAAGGGACGGGGACAAATTAAAAATGTTTTTATTAATGTTAAAAATAAGAAATAAAAATAATAAGGAAAAAGAATTCAAATATCATTGAATTATTATATCCTGTACAATAACAAAGATCTGGAAATTTTACCCGACGGTCCTTAAAGTGTTCAAATGTGTTTAAATGTGTATATTGATCAATGAATGGTTATTTGAAGTCTTTTGAAATGGATAGTAACAATTTTTACGGCCTGCGCATTTGGTGTAATTTATACTCCGACACAAGATTGATTTCAGTGAAAATAATATTTTGACATTGTTTTGTTTTATAGATATATTTCGTTTTGTTTAATGCTTTAAACAATGCGTATAGGTTATTGTTAAATTACCTTATTGGAAAATTGGTGCGCATTCACGCGTAAATAACCCCTTTATAACTAAGCCGTGGGCACGAAATAAATAAGTCGCAGGAACGAGATACTATGTCGTGGCCACGAGTTACTAAATCGTGGCCACGAGATAATTAAGTCGTGGGCACGAGATACTATGTTGCGGCCACGAGTACTAAGTCGTGGTCAGGAGATAATTAGGTGGCTCGCACGAGATTCTATGTCGTGGCTTTGAGTTACTAAGTACTAATTATGTTCGATTCTTGTCGGCGATTTATTTGCAAAATACTAAAAAAATGAGGTTTTATTTCTTTTAATAACAGGAACGAGAAGAGAAAGAAGAACATGAAAGTAAAGAAAATGACAACACCACGGAATCAAGAGATGTTGTTACAGTTCAGAATGCTCAACAGCAAATTACTGAAGGTTAATTTCTAAGTTTTATCTTTCTAACTCACAAAAGCCTGGCAAACTATCGCTCCACTTTAAAATTGCGGTGTACGGTAAAACGAGCGAGATCAAGCGGGAGGTCGATTTAAACCGCTAATTATGTTTTTGTCTTGTTATTTATTTAAGATTTATTTTTTCGATAAACGAAAAATGTAGTTCCGTGTAGGATTTTTTAAGGCTTCCAATGATCTAACCTTTTACAAAACGATAATTATATTAAACATTGAGAAACCCCTCACCCCCATGACGAATTGAGCGACGATTTGTTAAATCTCGTACTTCCAATAATGAAAATGCTCTACACTTCGGATTACTTGAAAAAAATGTTGTAGAAAAATATCAACCCGTAACAAGACTTAGTCTACTTCTCCTGGTGGATCTCTTAAATTATGTATGTGATTGGAGCACCACACTAAATACCGTATTCCGGTATATACCGGACAAGGCGCGTAAAACTCTTGCCTTTTTTTCCAACGGAATGAACTTTAACAGGTCTAATTCATCTTTTCATACCGAATTAAGTACGGTAATAAATGAAAAATGTAGAAATCGGCGAGAAAAAAACGATATTTGTCTATTGTGTGATCATGATTTCTGCAAGCGTCTAGAGGTACTGCTCCAATCCTGTATTGAGTTTAATATCGATTTTTTTTTTCGAAATTAATGACCCAAAAGGCAAGAAATGGAGCAAAGGTCAGTTGTTGATCGCAAAGCGATATTTAGTTTGCTATGAGCGTTGTCTATTATTTTGTAAAATGTTAAACTAGACTAACTAAAATATGAAGTCGGAGAAATATGATATAATAATTCATTTCTACTGTAACTAGGTCTATAAATTATTATTAGTTTTATCCGTACACCGTTTGCTGCCTTTTTATTTCGTTCTTTTTGTTCATAGATACTCTGTGAATTAACAAACAATTTTTAAAATACTTTTTATCTCAAAAAAAGATTTGTATTGAAAATATGCATTGATTGATGATAAAGTAAACAGTTCTATTTACAGAAAATAATAAACTAAACAACAATGCTAAACAAGAGAGTAAATATCTTGAAACTATTGTGGCTGATTTGGTACACTTTGCGCGTTTCGTTGTCGATAGCGACAACAGAACCTTTATCGTTATCACCTTTTTGTCTTGTCGCTAGCGGCACGCACAAAACGGCGCGTTGTCGCACTGTCGTCTTGTTGTCAGGTCTCTAGCGAAGCACGTCAAACGGTGGTTATCGTGCGACGTGGTGTCGCCCTGTCGCTTGGCTTAAAAACCCATCATTCGATTTGATCCGAGCGACAATGTGACATCGTGACAACGCGCCGCACGACAATGCGTCGTTTGGCGTGCATCGTTAGCGACAGGACGACAAGATGAAAGTCCGACAACGCTCCGTTTGCCATTTTGTTGTGCTGTCGCTAGCGACAACACGACACACCAAAGCGTTTCAAATCAGACATCATATGAAACGTAGCTGAAACAAGTGTTATACCTTTAGAACGACTGGCACAAACATTTTCATAGATATACAAAAGTCTTTCAATTTCATGAAAACTTGGCTTATTTGTGTTTGACATGAACGTGTACGTTAGAGAAAATGATTAAAACGTAAACCAGTTAAAACGCCTTCTTTACAGCTTTTCCTTAAATTAAACTGGTTAACTTTCGAAAATAGATGTACGTATCATACAGCATTATTAGTATTTAAATCTATACAAGGATTGATTCCTTCCTACATTTCAGATATCATAGTGTTTTCAAAAAATCAAACGTATACACTTAGATCAACTACAAATATAAACATAATACATGTAAGATCTAATACGAAATATGTTAAAAGAACTTTTAGAAATAATGCAATGCAAGTATGGAATAATTTACCATTATATATTAAAGAGTCTTCGTCTCTATATGCTTTTAAAAGAAATATGGAAAAAAAATTGATTGATATACAATTTAAATGAATCTGATGTATGCATGTGTCTGTCAATGTAATGGTTGTTGTTTATGTTGTTTTTAATATGTGTGTACATATTTGTGACTTTCATTATCTTGTTTAATTGAAGGCCATATGTAAATAAGATTTGCATTTCTTAATATGTTACCTTCATGAAATAAAGTGTTTATTATTATAATAATAATAATTATTATTATTATTATTACAGACAATCATAGTAAAATAAAATTTTCACACTTTAAATGCCAGTAGTGATCCATTTAATGTGACCCGTGCATTGCATTTTGTCTCTGTTCTGCTCATTGGATGTCTAACCTTTCGAAAAACATAACATGATGACAGGAACAATCGCGTTACACACACCTGCTCACAAAAAAATTTTCACGGTAGAATATAAAATATCTGATTTTGTCGAATTTACACGGACACACGTTTTAAAATTTACATAGCCATGTCAAAAATCTTGATTGACCTCGAATAAGTGGCATCCTGTATTATGCCACGCATATGATTCAATGATGGGACCACATCCAAATTTGGAACATAAATATCGAATCTACGGCAGTCATAGGTGACACCCTGCCGAAAACATCTATTGCGCTATATGATACATGTATAAGGATATCACGCTTTATTAGTTGTTTATAAAGTCACTCAACATTTGATAATTTCTATTTTAACTTCTATAGCTTTTACATATACAAATCCTCCTTATTTATTTTCAAAAATTTTCAATCCAAATTAATATCGCCTTGCGCTCAACATCAAACCTTTGGCTCCATTTCTTGGCCTTTGGCTCCACTTCTTTCGAAAAATATCGATATACAGATTTTAGAAATCCACCAGAATAATCTATCTTGCACGAAGGACAAATTCTCATTACGGGTTGATATTTTTCTAAAACACCTTTTTTAAAAAAAAAACAACGTTCTATCGGGTTTAATATAATTTTCTTTTTGTAACAACCTAGATCATGAGAAGCCTACAACAATCCTTCACGGAATTACATTTTTCGAAAAAAAGTACAACCTCAATGAATTACAAGACAAAACATAAACAACACTTACACTTAACTGTTATTGATAAAATCGGCCTTCCGCTCTATCACGGAAATGCCGTCCGCTCGTTTTTCGTACACTGCAATTTTGTAGTGGAGCGACAGTTTGCCAGGCGTGGCACATGACGTCTTACGTTTTAAGTGCTTATAGGGGTGAAATACTATTTGGAATGGCTACAATTTTAAGACTATCCCAAAATGAATGAAATGTGTGAATATACAACTTTGAGAGAAGGATATAAAGACATGAGCAAATTTCACAATTGTCAAGCATCTATAAATTATAAAGCTTTTAAACTTCGGCAAAATTTTAAATGTCATATTCACATTGGTCATAGCTTTCACAGAAGCGATGGATAAATGTTTATGCAAGTTCAATGCAAGGCTGACGTCATTTACGATCATTTTGTTCACATATTTCAAATAAAACGATAAAAATTGGTCAAAGACAGAAATGGCCGGTTGTATTTGTATACCAAATATCATGAGGCTGTGATGTTACGAAAATGTTCTACCATTTACCATTAATGTCAAAAAATTAACTTAGTCGGTCAACAGGAAGCACATTTGCTGCTAATCATGATCAAATTATCATAAAATAATCTCCCTGAACAAAATGACTATCCAGCACACGTTTACTATATATAATACAAAATGTATATAGATCTACATGGTCCTGGTATATAACTCGCCGTAGGGTAATACTCCGACACGGTCAACATTTTGGCATTAAGTCAATAAACAGGCAGTGGATGAGCGACAGACCAGAAATTGAATCCTACGGTATGGGACCATGTGTTAATGCTGTATACCAAACTTCTATGAAAGCTATAACCTGTGTAATATTTTATGTATTAACCAAATACTTAATCCAGAGGAAGTCAATAAAAGCTTTATGAACGCCAGTCTTTGCTCCTTTTAAATATAATACACGGACATTTGCAAAGTGGACTTACTTAAACAATCTTTTGATACATAAAAGATGCATAAAATGTTTTTAAAGTTCACGAGATGAAATTAAATTACATCTTACACAACAAACAAACAAAGTTTTCTTTTTATTTTATGCTTAAAAACAAGTTAAAACGAAATTTCCATAAAATTAACGTAAATATAAATTTCTGCTTTCCAAATTTAGAGCCTCATTTAGTCAGAATTTCTCATTAAATAAAAGAAGTCTTGGACTGAAACATAAGTTCGACAATCAACTTTAATTGACGGTGATATTATTCATTTAATTAAAAAAATATGAATGATCGCTTTTTTAATAATAAAAACAAACCATTCTAGTAGGAGAAAAAAGCCAACCATCCATCAATATTTCTGTTACTTACTGCGAATATACTCGTAAGTGTTGACAGATGTGAAAACATTCAAAATCGGCTAGCTAAATGGAAAACTTGGAATTTTTCAATTTCAAAGGCTGCCTTACGAACACTGGGTTGTTTACTTATTCTTTGGGTTGATGGCTGTCATTGTTTTTCAAGTTTTCATAAAGCATTCGGCAGTTATTGCTCAAAGGATACTTAAATATGCCCGAAAGTCATCAAGAGCAGTTTGCATGTGGAAGGAATGTATTTTTCAGACTGTAAAAATGAAACAAAAAATTTAGGGACGGAATTTGGTGATTGGAATTTGAATGAATAAAAGTAAGTTTTCCTCTTTTTATTACTTTTGACATTTTAGTTATTTATCAATTTCAGCTTTGCTTTTCTTTAAACAGCCTGACATTGTCAGTATTGTCAGTAAAAATAAAATTGTAGAATCAAATGGGGAAAATCTTAAAAAAAAGTTTTGTCACTGGAAAGTGTGAAATTATATTTTGATAATTTTCACTATGAAATTATCAAATATAATTTTCACGGATAAATCAGTATTCCACTGAAAAGCATAAAATAAAATAATATATGCATTTATGCACTTATGATTATTTTGTATCCCTCGCCGAAAGGCGGCGGGGGATATAGAAATAGTCTCCGTCCGTCTGTCCTTCCGTCCGACATTTTTGTCCGGAGCATATCTTAAAAAGTATTTGTGGTATCAACTTGAAACTTCATAGGTGGATGGATCTCATTGAGGAGGAGTGCAGTGCACAGGAATGATAATTCTACCCTGCATAATGTTTCAGTTATTGCCTTTAATTATTTTTCAAACTTAATTTTTGTCCAGAGCATAACTCAAACAGCTTATGAGATATCAACATGAAACTTAATAGGTGGATAGATCTCACTTAGGAGGTGTGCAGTGAACAAGAATGATAACTCTCCATTTCATAATTTTTGATTTATTGCCCTTTGTTATTTTTTATATACTTAATTTTTCACCTTAGTGACGTATAACTCAAAAAGTCTTTGAGATGTCAACATGAAACTTCATAGGTGGATAGATCTTAATGAGGAGAAATGCTGTGTACAAGAAAGATAACTCTTCCCACTATAATTTTTGAGCTATTACCCTTAGTTCTTTTTTATACTATTTTGTCCGGAGCATATCTCAAAAAGTGTTTGAGTTATGAACTTGAAACTTCACAGATGGGTAGATCTTATTAAGGATGATACAGTGCACAGTGCACAGGAATGATAACTCTACCCTGCATAATTTTTCAGTTATTGCCCTTTGTTTTATTTCAAACCTAATTTTTGTCTGGAGCATAACTCAAAATGCTTATGAGATATCATGAAACTTCGTAGGTGGATAGATCTCACTCAGGAAGTGTGCAGTGTATAAGAATAATAACTATATCCTTCATAATTTTTGAGTTATTGCCCTTTGTTATTTTTCATACTTATTTTTTCACCTGAGTGGAGCATAACTCAGAGTCTTTGAGATGTCAACATGAAACTTCATAGGTGGATAGATCTTGTTGAGGAGGAATGCTGTGTACAAGAACGATAACTCTTCCCAATATAATTTTTGAGTTATTGCCCATTATTATTTTTCATACTTTTTGTCCGGAGCTTATCTCAAAAAAGTGTTAGAGGTATCAACTTGAAACGTCATAGGTTGATAGATCTCATTGAGGAGGAGTGAAGCATACAAGAATGATAACTCTATCCTTCATATTTTT